GACCATGGCTGCTCCTGACTCTTTTTTCTGGGTGAAGTAGGTCAGTCAAGGCAAAGCCGGGCTGTCATGGTGTCCTCTCTTTCACGGAGATGCCATGGGCACAGGCGTGGGGAACAGCCTCGCCCTCGCTGCAGGCACAGGAAGTCCAGTGCATAAAACCGTTGGCTGAGACTTACTTACGGTTCCTTTCCTTTTTTTCTTTCCTCCCTTGTACACAGTTTCAACTCTCCACACTAGGTCATTCAGGCCTGGAGCCACCAGAAAAAAGAAGTCGCTGTTTGGGGGATGGCAGATAATCAAGAGTGCAGACAGCTGCGATGAAGAATTAGTTGTGGGTTTTTCTTGGTGCCTCGCTACAAATTGCGTTGCAGTTCCATGTTCAGACGCTATTAAATGAGAATGTTTTCTCTGGCACCCATCCACCTTTTCCCCACAGTTTAAGTATTGAAATTTTTTTTTCTGAACTGAAGTAGCTTCGGTTTACAGCTCACATTTAAAACTTAAAAACGTTATTTCCATACATGTTGGCAGAAACCGGCCACTGTTTATTCCACCAGCAGTCATAATAAACCCCTTCCCACTGACAATCTAACAAATCATTTTCTGTTTGCCACCGAGTTGGGTTCAATAAAATGTTTGTGCTCTTAAAATTCTCTTCATAAGAACTTCTAAAAGCACACATTTCCTTCCTAAGGCAGCTTTTGTGGTCAGCATGCCCAGTGGCTCTCCCTCTGGATTCCAGAAGTGAGCCCAACAGGCTAGTGGCAGTAATTAGAAAGTCTCAAAACTCAGGAAGATATTAGTGTGTTGAATACTTTGGTATATACTACATTTCGGTCAATTAGCCAATTTCACTTTTTAAAAAAATTTGAATTTTATGTAGAGCCGAGGTTTCACTATGTTGCCCAGGCTGGTCTCGAACGCCTGGGCTCAAGCAATCCACTCATCTTGGCCTCCCAAAATGCCAGGATTATGGGCATGAGCTACCGCACCCAGCTCAATTAGTCACTTTTCAACACAAGTATATACACAAACAACCTCCTCTGCCCTTTACTTCTCCACAAGGCAAGCATGAACGGTAGCAGTGGCCACAAGGGGGTATCTTCAGGCCTTTCCCGGTGGGTGTTTCTGGCTTGGGTCCTCGAGTGGCATTGGGGCTGGACAGATGCCCCACCATGGTGGGCGGCCTCCCTAGGAACAGGCTGAGGAAACCAAATGGTGAATAGTGGGCTCTGCGCTGGTGGGTCAAAGGTCAAGCAAGGCATCTTAAAGCAGGCCTGAAAACTCCCACAAAGCTTACCAATGTGCTTGTTTTGTTTTATGTTTTTTTCATGGCAGGCCAGACTGAGGCTGAACCGATGGGGTCTCAATCCAGGAATCTTCTAGGCTCTTCCAAGTAACACACACCAGGAGGTGTTGGGTTGAGGTCGCTGAGTGCAGCCTGCATGCTGGCATTTCATAGTGGGTTTAGACAAACCAGTCTTTTTTGTTTGTTTGTTTTTTAAGGTTGGTTTGATTTCCTTTGAAGTAAAAATGTAGTAACTCAGCTCCACCACTTTCAATCAAAGCAGAGCGCTGACAATACTGACCATGCTGTCACCAGGGTCTTTTTGTCAGGGGACATTGCTAGGGTTGGGGTGTGGGTGCTTTTTAACCCCCTGTGAAAGGAGGCCAACTTCAGAGAGTGAGAACCCCACCCCCATGTCAACTCAATCCCTATGTGGAACAACATCATCTACAAAAAGCTCACCCCGGGTTCAGAGGACGAGGACCAAATGGTAGCTCTGCAGGACACAGAGAGGTGGAGTGAGTTGGAACACCCACCCCAGCCTGGGTCCCTGTGAATGTCTCCTTTTGTTTTTTTTGTACAGCTGGGAAGGGTAACTCCAGCCAGGAGCGATGCCGGGAGTTCAGCAGCTGCCAGGTGCACCATCCACACAGACTCAGGAATCCCGGAGCAGGGCGTCCACTCACTGGGTCCCCTACTACTTTACAGTCCCGCCTCGTGACCCTTTCCTCCCCACTGAGTTCAAAAGGAAGTTTCTCTGGTGAAGTAGAGGGTGGGGTGGGAAAGAAAGAAAAACCCAGCATTCCATGGCAAGAAGCCATATAAGATCTGTTACACCACCGGCCAGAGGGTGCCCCGAATGGGAGGCTGATGTGGACACAAGTGCATCCATCAATAATAACCCGGACTCCTTCGGTCAAATGGTCCCCTGGGGTTACTGACTCTGCTGACATGGGCGACTTCAGCCAAAGACAAAAGTGGTAGGTTATTGTCTTGTGTTGGTTACCCTTGAAGGAGAATGTGACATGAGGATTCTTATGCAGGCAAAAGAGGAAGTGATCTCAAGAGGGATGAGGGAGACAAGATAGGAAGGAAGGAGCAATAGAAGGATACATCTGAAGGCCGGGCGTGGTGGTTCATGCCAGCACTTGCAGAGGCTGAGGTGGGAGAACTCCTTGAGCCCAAGGGTTCGAGACCTGCCCAGGCAACATAGCAAGACCTCATCTCCACAAAAAAAATTTTTTTTAATTTCCAGGCATGGTGGTGTATCCTCAGCTACTAGGAAGGCTGATGCAGAAGGATCACCAGAGCCCAGGAGGTTGAGGCTGCAATGAGCTGTGGCTGCGTCATTACACTTTGGCTTGGATGATAGCGTGAGACTCCAACTCAAAAAAAAAAAAAAAAAAAAAAGAAGGGTGCATCAGAGTTCCCAGAGGTTGGAATGGTGTGCTGGGGGATAAAGGAAGCCCAGAAAAGCACAAATGTGTTTCTACCCTCAATTAAGCACCATTACACAAAGACCAAAATGCTATCTTTTTTTATTCCTTTCCAGGCTGTTGTGGGAAAGTCCGTTTCTCCAATGCTGTGCCAGTCTCCTCTTGCCTGCGCTCCCAGAGGGGCCAAACTAGACAAGCAGTTTAATAAGAGGGAATAAGGTTGAATAAAGAAAGCTCAGACCAGGCGCAGTGGCTCAAGCCTGTAATCCCAGCACTTTGGGAGGCCGAGGCGAGAAGATTGCCTGAGTCCGGGGGTTCAAGACCAGCCTGGGCAACTTGGTGAGACCTTGTCTCTACAATAAATCAAAAAATTAAGGCTGGGCTCAGTGGCTCAGTCTGTAATCCCAGCATTTTGGGAGGCCAAGGTGAGTGGATTGCCTGAGCCCAAGGGTTTGAAACCTGCCCGGACCACTTGGCAAGACTTCATCTCTACAATAAAATCAAAAATTAGCCGGGCGTGGTAGCGCATACCTGTAGTTCCAGCGACTCGGAAGGCTGAGGCAGAAGGATCGCCGGAGCCCAGCAGGTCGAGGCTGTGGTGGCCGGGAGTGGCCACTGCACTCTAGTCTGGGCAGCGGAGTGAGACTCCAACTCAGAAAAAAAAAAAAATTAGCCGGGCATGGTGGTGCGTGCCTGTAGTTCCAGCTGCTTGGAAGGCTGAGGCGGAAGGATTGCCTAAGCCCAGCAGGTCAAGACTGTGGTGACCGGAAGTGCGCCACTGCCCTCCAGCCTGGGCGACAGGGTGAGACTCCGACCCAAAAACAAAACAAATAGAAAGCTCAGCTTCCAAAATACCACACTCTTCCGGTCTTCCCTGACCTTAAAGGCAGCACCTTCTTAGTCTCTTTGGCTGATTTCTTGTTTTCCAGAAAGTCCAGGATTCTGCCCTTAGCTTTTTTCCGTTGCTTCTCAGTCTATACGAGATGATCTAGGTGACCCCGTCCAGCCACATGGGCTTTAGATGTCATTGACATGGTGATGATTCAACAGGGGGCACTGTGGCTGCTTCTCCCAGAGCCGGTTCCCAGGACCCTTCCCCACTCCCACTACCATGCACATGGGCTGCCAAGCGCCCACAGCCCCTTTTCCAGAAAATCGCCCTCAACTTACCTTCAAAGGCACCCTGTTCCCAGGGGACCTCCTGCAGCCAATAACTGAAGGATTGAGGCTTAGATAGGTTCCTCCTGAGGGCACCCCACAGTAAACCAAGTGCATTTGGATCCCTGTCTCAGGCTCTGCTGGGCACCTGACCTGGGGAAACTCTCTAGTTCTATTTGCAGCCTGAATCATCCATCGGAACCTCAGATAGCTTGCTTTGCCCCAAATTCCTCACTGACCCGCCCACCCCTTCCCTGGTTCAGAAAATGGTAACTCCATCCTTCCTGTTACTCAAGCCAAAAAACCTGAGCCTAGATGTTTGAGACCAGCCTGGGCAACACAGCGAAACGTTGTCTCTACAGAAAAGCAAAAAATAAGCCAGGCGTGGTGACACGTGTGTGTAGGACCAGCAACTCAGGAGGTTGAGGCAGAAGGATCACCTGAGCCCAGGAGGTCAAAGCCGAGGTGAGCCATAATCATGCCACTGCACTCCAGCTTGGGTGAGAGTGAGACCCTGACTCACAAAAAAAAAAAAACCAACCAAACAAAAACTAAGCCCTCATCTCCAGAATCCCTTACTTCCTTCCCTGTTTTATTTTTCTCCATAGCAATTATCATCATCTGATGTCACCTTATATATATTCATTCCTGTTTGTCGATTGTCTTTCTCTCCATGGAGAATGTAAGCTCCATAAGAGCAGAGATTTTTTTCCCCTATTATTCCATTTAATTATCTCTAATGCCCAGGTCAATGCAACACAGTAGGTACTCAATAAATATTTACTAAACGAATGAATGAAGCTAGACAGCCTCTGGCTTTCTTCCATTTCCAACTCTAAGACTTATAACTGAGCATTGTCCTCAATGGGATCAGCCAAGATTTTGGAGATGCAAAGTGTCAGGCAAAAGCCACACTTCTGTATGCTACACCATCCACCCTCCTTGTTTATCAAAGGGTGCCAGAACTGGTCCAGGCCAGACTAAGTGAACACCATCGCAAGGCGTGGGGAAGTCTAGCCTTTGTCATCCACCATCTTTCTTGGATGGGGAGAAAGGAGACTAAAATCTGGAAGAGCAGAGAGGCCAAAGTAGGTTTTCATACTTTATCATCCTTTAAAAATGTTTTTCTCATTTAAAAAATAATACTGATTTTTCCAGAAGAAAACAAACCATGGAAGACCATCCTTCAGACCAAAATGGTGAGAGAGACAGGTATGAACATGGGAAAGATAGGTGTGAACACAGGAGGGGCAGGTACGAACGTGGGAGAGGCAGGTGTGAACATGGGGAAGACAGATGTGAAGATGAAAACAGGTATGAATACGAAGAAGACAGGTGTGAAGACGGGGAAGACAGGCTCACCCCTAGTTACATGTAGTGTGAAATTTGGGGGCTCCCCTTTTGCTATATAGAGTAAGGGGAAGGCTTTGAGGTATCAACAACCTGGGCTGTTGGCAAGAGGACAAAGAATCAGTTTTCTGAACGTCAAGAGGAAGTCTCTCTGGTTGCAGAGGACTAGCTGGTCTCTTCCAGTTCCAAGAGGTCATCCACATATTCCACAACCTCTCCCTGAAAGACAACAGGATTCTTCCATTAGGCAGGCTAGCTGACTTTCAAAAGCACTGGTGCACAGAACAGTTTCCAGGAGGCCACTGCTGCTGTCTGCTTGGGCTAAAGCAGGTTTTCTCCACTGGCCTGGGACCCAGAGGACCTGACTTCTCCCTGCGGAGGGGACCTCAGCCTCCACGTGAACTTGGTGTCAAGTGCTCTGTGATCCCCACCGATGGCCTGAGTGAAGCAGACAGTCCAGCCCCCCCTGTGACAGGTCCCAGTGAGGGTCCCCCTCCTCTGTGCATCCTCCCTGTGGGCCTTCTTTTCCTCCCATGAACAGTTCTTCCACAGGAACTTTCTATCTGTTCCTTTTCTAGCGCTACCACCAGGTCACAGCGTTTTCAAGGACTAGGGCCTGGGTTGTTCTTTCTTTCCCAGAGTCGAGCACAAAGAAGGTGCTCAGTAAACGTGTTGAAGGATGTGGGATTGAGTGTTGCTGGTGTCACTGAAGCAGCCATTCCTCTTACAGGAGAGATTCTTGGGGACAGTGGGACCCACTTGTCTGCTGTCAGTACCAGGAGCCCACCTGCTCCCTCCTTCTGTAATCAGCCTTACACTTCAACTTGAAGCAGCCCAGGACTCTTCCTTATTTCCTTTTCTGCATTGACATATCTCCCATAAGCTTCCTGGGCCACCAGCTGATGACATCCACTCTCTTTTCTGCAGAGAATGAGTGACTCACCAGGAAGGCTAACACCCCTTCCATGAGGGTTGGCACAGGCCAGGCCCCCTGAGGCTACTACCCTTGCTAAAGTTGGTCTCCCTCAGAGCTCACCACCCCAGGCCAAAAGCCTGTTTACTCCTTTGGGTGTTTTAACACAGAGATATTTGTAAAAATCTCTCAGCATTAGGGAATAACTGAAAAATCCGCCACATACACGAGACACAGAAGAAAGTTTTAGTGTTTTCATCAAATACTTCTATCATACCAGCCGGGCACAGGGGCTCACGCCTATAATCTCAACACTTTGGGAGGCCGAGGTGAGAAGGTTGGTTGAGCCCAGGAGTTCGAGACCAGCCTGGGCAACACAACGAGACCTCGTCTCTACAAAAATAAAAAAAACAAGCCAAGCGCAGTGGTGTGCACCTGTAGTCCCAGCTACTTGGGAGGCTGAGGTGGAAGGATCGCTTGATCCCAGAAGGTCAAGGCTGCAGTGAACTGTGATTGTGCCACTGTACTCCAGACTGGGTGACAGAGTAAGACCCTGACTCAAAAAAAAATACTTCTACCATGTCATGTCTGTGATTAGAAACTTAAAGTATGGAATTAGAGCGCTGCAGCTTGAAAAAAGATCCTGCAGTTGTTTTCTGGACCCCAAAAGGAAAGCATGGCATTGTATACGGATTATGTATATAGCCATGACACATCTGTTTAGGAAGTTACTGTTTCCTGCTATGTAGCTGCTGTGACTTGGGAGATGATGGTGTTGTTTGCTTTTAGCTCCCTAAATAATAAATGCCTAAAGAAATACAGACGAAAGAAATACATCCCCTGTACAGCCGTCGTGAATGCTAGTGGTACCTTACTCAGATAGATCTCATTCCCAGTGCCCCATCCCCAGCTCCTGTGAACTGCTTGCTGATGACTCATAGCTGCCCCTTCGCTGGGCAACTGCCCTTGGCCAAAAGGAGCAGCCTCACCAGGAAAGTTACATACCAACCCTCCCTGGCAGCCAAGGACCAATACAGACTAGTAAAAGGGACTACAGAAGACAGGACCACTCGGTGGGACGATTTGCTCCAGAGCTCCCCATGGGATCGGATAAAGCTTGACTCTGGTTGAGCCCACATCAGCTGAGACCCTTCCTCAGCCCCTCACTCCCTTCCTAGCTGACAGCACTTTCTCCATGAGTCATTCCTACAAATTATGTTCTATTACCTTGGGGCTTTCCAAGCAAACAACTGTCCGAACCTGAAACTTAAAACATCTATTCCGGCCTGCCTTATAAAGTTTCTCAAACTATAAAAGGCCTCTGCAAAATGTTTCACCAGTGTGCAAACTTTCAGAAGCATATACACAACTTTTTCTTTTTCTTTTCTTTTTTTTTTGAGTCAGAGTCTCACTCTGTTGCCCAGGCTTGAGTGCAGTGGCACTCCCATGGCTACCACCACAGTCTCGGCCTGGGCTCAGGCAATCCTTCAGCCTCCGCCTTCCAAGTAGCTGGAACTGCAGGCACGTGCCACTTTAAGCTTACACACATGTCAATCCCAAAAAGGTAATAAGGAAGAGTGCCACAAATATTAGCAGCTAAATCATATTGGTGCTTTGTTTCAAAATAGTATTATGTCCTTTGGGAAATGTAAGGATTAAACTAAGAATTGTTTTATATTGTTTATGTTTTCATTTCAAATTATGACTTGCCATAATTTGGTGTACAGTAAGAAAATTGCTCATTCTTTAGAGATGGATTAATTCTTCCACAATCCTAAAGCCTCGGTTAATAAGTAAACTACTGAAGCCAGGCTAGGTGGCTCAGCCTGTAATCCTGCGCCTTTGGGAGGCTGAGGTGAGTGGATTGCCTGAGCCCGCGGGTTCGAGACCCACCTGGGCAACTTGGCGAGACCTCATCTCTACAATAAATCAAAAATGAACCGGGCGTGGTAGCGCCCGCCTGTAGTTCCAGCTACTTGGAAGGCTGAGGCGGAAGGATCGCCGGAGCCCAGCAGGTCGAGGCTGCGGTGGCCGGGAGCGGCCACTGCACTCTAGTCTGGGTGACAGTGTGAGACTCCAACTCAAAAATAAATAAATAAATAAATAAGCAAACTACTGGCCAGGGACAGTGGCTCACACCTGTAATCCCACCACTTTGGGAGGTGGTGGTGAGAGGACTGCCTGAGCCTAGGGCTTTGAGACCAGCCTGGGAAACTTGGTGAAACCTCATCTCTACAATAGATCAAAAAATTAGCCAGGCCTGGTGGCGCATGCCTGTGGTTCCCAGCTACTTGGAAGGCTAAAGTGGAAGGATCTCCTGAGTCCAGCAGGTCGAGGCTGTGATAGCCGTGAGCGTGCTACTGCATTCCAATCTGGGTGACAGAGTGAGACTCTGACTCAAAATAATAATAAGAAGAAGAAGAAGAAGAAAAAGCAGCAGCAAACTACTCTAGAACCATCAATAAAGTCCTTTGATCTGAAAAGTGCCAAGTCCAAGAATCCTACTGATCTGAAAGCCGGGAATAAGCCTGGTCTGTTCACTGGTTGATTACTAATCCTCTGTGTGACCATCAGTAAGTCACTTTGTCTTCTCAGTTTGTTTTATCTGTGATAAGACAGCTTTACTGAATCTCATGAAAAATCTCTTCTTGGCCTGGCGTTGTGGCTCATGCCTATAATCCCAGCACTTTGGGAGGCCAAGGTGAGAGGATTGCCTAAGCTTATGGGTTTGAGACTAGCCTAGGCAACTTGGTGAAACCTCATCTCTACAATAAATCAAAAAATTAGCTGGGTGTGGTGGCGCATGCTTGTAGTTCCAGTTACTTGGAAGGCTGAGGCAGAAGGATTGCCTGAGCCCAGCAGGTCGAGGCTGAGGTGGTCATGAGCACGCCGCTGCACTCCAGCCTGGGCAACAGAGTGAAGACTCCAACTCAAAAAAAGAAAAAAGAAAAATCTCTTTTTATTCTAATATCTATTTTTTTCTAAATATTTGTTCTTGTACATCAAAAGCCTTCAAAATGTTCATAGCCTTTGACCCAGGAATTTCACTGCTGAGAATTTATCCTAAAATCAAAGAAGAGGTAAAAGAGTTAGTTACTGCAGGATCAGGGCGATGGCTCATGACTATAATCCCAGCACTTTAGGAGGTGGAGGCAAGAGGATTGCCTGATTCCACGGGTTCAAGACCAGCCTGGGCAATTTGGTGAGACCTTGTTTCTACAATAAATTTTTTTTTTTTTGAGTTGGAGTCTCACTCTGTCACCCAGACTAGAGTGCAGTGGCATGCTCCCGGCCACCAG